TTTTTGGAAAAACATAAAATATAAAAATTTAATCGTTATTGTTTTTCAATATTTGGCCTATCTAAGGAAGAAACTCTTGGGATTTAAAATTTTCGAGGCAACGTTTTTTAGCCTATTTAGATTTTACCCCTTTCTGATTTAGGCTGGCTCTCTACCGTACGCCAAGAGAGACGAAAACACGGCTGTTTTGGTGCGCGATGATGAGAACCAGATGCGCATATTAATTTAAAGGCCGCGTCGTTGAACGAGGAATCACGTATATGTATGCAATATGTATAGAGATGTTTCATCTCGCGCAACTTGGGGCCATATACACATCGATATACTTGTTGTTTACGTATGAGGTATTCGTTCGATATCGCTAGACCGATTTTGAAATGTTGACATCACTATAACTATATCGTGGCTATATTAAATATCATTTTTTAAAAACACAACTTTTTTTCTTTCTCTCTGTGGCTAAATTATCACTTACTTTTTTCACATGTTTTTTTTATGAATCCGGTAGCTTAATTTTTTTTATTTTACTTTACTTTCAAATTTTTTATCATTATTATTTTTATTGTTAATATTTGCGGCAAGAGGCTTATTTTTGGGAATAATATCGAGTTAAATAATTAATCCAAAAAGCACACGAGAGAACAGGTGGTTGAGAGGAAAAATTGACTTTTATTACTTTGGAGATCTTGAAAAAAAGCGGATTAAAAATGTATTTGTGAAACTTGTAAACAATTTATTTGCACGTGCTATCTTTTTGACTTTGCTTAGTTTGTATTTTTATCTTAACAAGAAAAAAATTAAAGTCGTTTACGACGATGTCATTAAAATGTTTTTAAAGTGAAGTAACTTTCGCGTTCGTGTACAAAACAAAGCTATTGCCATCCAAAGACTCGAGGGCTTTTTTTGTCTTTTATCAAGTGATTAAAAACAGTCCAAATAAGACACCAGAGGTTAAGAAGTTAAAATCAAGCGTGGCACGATTCTGTCACTCGCTTTTATTAGCACTTCTCGTATTCTCACTAATTCCCATTTTTCGAGTGATTAGTCGTCCCAAGGTCAGGCTCCAATGTCGCATGCAACTAGTATACAGTTACGTTATGTTCAATTTGCACGGCAACGCGATATTTTTAAAAAAAAGCAACAATAAGAACGGTACACCAGTACCGAACGAGTCCGTAAATTTTACACGTCAGATTTTTCGCTTATTAAAGCGGGTAATACATATTCAAAGATATTATTTCAATTTCTCTTGGAAAGCCCCAAAAAACAAGTTTGACGATTCGATACGCCGTTTCCATAACCTGACTCGGAGAGGATAAGTTGATAAGATTTTCCCGAGGGTTTCTCTTTGTAGTAATTTTTACTTTATTTGTTTATTTTTTCAAACGACTCCCTCCCATCGATAATCGACGCGAATTTGTTTTTATTATTCCCGATCACGACTGTCGGTAGTTTCTTTCAAGTAGGTCCGACAGATTTATGATACAGATAACTATTTCATTTCCGCCTCGAACCTATATCTTATCGCTGATTTAGCTCGAACTTGTACCGCGTATTATTATATTAAACACCAATGTTTATGTTTTTTTTTTTTTCCATCGATAATTTTTAGATAGCCATCATCTACCAACATAAGTCATTTTGCACCAATGCATCGAAAACGCGCCTTCACGGGATAACATATTCTCACGCGATCCAAACGCGAAATAAGCAGTGCACCACCAAAAATTTTAATTTTTTTACGCAAGCTCGTTAAACGCGAGATCCATTTGGTGCTGCCGCTGGGATGAAAATCGGTAACCAATGAAAAAACAGCTTTACAGAGTCTGCCCACTTTTACAGCAGCTCCCGAAGAACAACATAGTACACCTACGAACGAACAAACTGTCGTACATATATGCCGTATGCGAGTGATCAAGTGCTCATCGCCTCATATTGCTCGCAAACTCATCGGATGAGCTTATAGTTGTGGCACAGCGACCGGAGCGGCGTCATCGACAAAGTGTATTTACCCAGTGCTCATCTGCCTGAAAAAACAACGAACCCTAAAGCCAGTGTGTGGCAACGAGTTTCCAGAGAAAGGCAAACACAGTCTACATACAGGAAGGAAAAGAAAAAAGGAAAGGAAGGAGCCGGTGCCTCCTCCTCCTCCGTGGTCCGGAAGAACGAGGTAGTCCGCGGGCTTATGGAGGAATGTCGTCGGCATGACGGCGAAGATCTCGAAGAGACAACTGGATGATCTCTTTAGCGAGGTAGGCCGCCCGACGCGGTTTCATTGTTCGATCCGTCTTTGCTACCTGTGGGTTATTGATTGACTCGAGGGGCCAATTTTTGTTCGCCCGTGACAAATAACTCGAAGGCGCTTGACGCATGTGGAAACGTACATTTATTTCCATTCGTGGAATAATCCATCAATTAGGCGCACAAAGTGGGTATAGTCTTTTTAATAAACGAGGAGCATTCATTTTCGTTCCTTCCAATTATCCACGGCAATAAAAGGGGGAAAAAAAAAATTGTGGATCTTGACTCGGCATATTATTGGGTTTCACGTAAAAATGACTCATCAATATTTATCTCGAGTTTTTAAAAGTCATCTCTCGTCGCTCTCGCATCCACACGTCGCGTGGATATTGTGTATATAATATATTTATACTATATCGTATTCGTTACTGGCTCGTTTTGGTAGAGGCGCTAGGTACTCGGGTTGAGGTATTTGTTTGGGAAACTTTCTAGAAAAATTTTTGAAATTATCATAATTGTTTTCTATTTTAAAAACTCGTTACCTACAGTTTTATAGCTATTTATAGACCAATTAAAACTATACACTTCAAAAGTGTTACAATACACGAATGAGTATCTACTTTCATCATTCTGTTTTTTCGGTTTTGACAATTTTTTTTTTTCTCCAATTGATAATTCATCGCTCATATCGAGTAATTCCAAAGTTATTCAAATCAGCATTTACCGATCAAATATTTATACCTCCAACTAATTGACGCTATAGCGCATAGTCAAGCAGAGCGAATTCGTCGACGTAGACGAGTGCTTGTATAATTATCAGCTGATATCCAATACTCGACAAATTGAAATTAAACTTAACTGGTATAACGAACACTTTCATCGTAGTTTTTTATGTTTATCAATCATTTGGATGTTTTATCGATTTTTAGAGATAATCGCAAAAAATTTGAAAAGGTGTTTTTCAATCTTAGACATCTCAGCTAACGATTCTTGTCTAACAAAAAATGTTCGTGCAAATGTATTCAGTCAGAGAATAATTTATAGGCAAAACATCGAGATAACGAAGGAAGGGAGGGTGGGGGTGCTTAGGACTTGGAAGAGGATAAATATCGGGGTTCCCTGCCAGAAAGCACGAGAGAGTATGTAGGAGCTACGGCACGCGTAAAAAGTCCCTTGCAGATGATCGAGACGAAATCTCAAATGTCAAGATAAATGAGTAAATAAAAAAAAAAAAAAAATGATTGCAAACGATAAAAAATAAAAATGTACATGATTTACACGTCATAAGCTCTGCAGGTGTGTAAATTTTCTAAAATTATATTTATGTCTTGCGATAAATGAGTCACCCCTGTATAAAACATTACCTGCAATAAACCACTTAATTTTATAGCCGTGATGAAATTCCAAGCGCATATTACGTAAATATATCTAACACTGGTAATGTATACACATGGTATACGCTCATCGTCACGATCGACAACTCCGATGTAAATACACATTGCAAGGGTTGAGTGAAATAAAGTTGTGGATGCAAACTTACTTGCGTCACGAACGTTTAAAGTAACTGCTGGAAACTTTCGTAGAACCGATTTTTTCAAATTTTGATTATAAAAACTCTGGAAAGCTCATTCGCATCGTGCCAGTAGTGGCTGCGACACCCACAGCACTTGAAAATTTTATAGACGCGTACCCCTGATCAATTGTTCTTCTCACTTTTTGTACAGGGTCCCCATCTCGCAGCCCAACGCGATTATTATTATATCCAACGCGATCCCCAAAAAGACCCCTCGGTACGCCTGAGCTTAGCTAAATATCCTTAGCCAGCCGAGCAGGTTCGCAAAACAAATAGTAAGGAGAACTCTAAAAAAAATCGACAGCGGCCTCCTTTCATCTTTTACCGAGCAAAGGGTGGAAGGGGGGGGAGAAAGAGCTTGGCACTTTGGTTCGCGGCAACCACGATTTAAGTACACCTAAATCACAGTGAAATTATGAAGTGCGCCGGCAGGCTACTTATCTTACTTTGAGATGCATGCGAAAAGGCTACAGGTTGCTTACATATATATATACACATATACACGTATACAAAGGTATACCTAACTAATTGTCCCGGTGGTGGTGGTGCACGTTGGTTGCCCCTTGCGTAAGCCAGATCGCTGCCATTAGCCGCGCGCACAAATCCCCCCCTCTAATTTTTTTTTCTTTTTTTTTTCAAAATTAGCCAGCTAAACTCCATGCATGAGCCTAATAAACGTATATACATACCTCGTAAGTACTTCTACACACATAAACATATATTATATGGCCCTTAGCGGTGTTCGCGCGAGTGTTGGGCTGCAGCTGTAAGTATAAACCATTGGGATGCAAATTGGGCACCCGCGGTCTGAGAAAAGCGGATCCTCGATCCCTCGAGAAAGGGACTCGAGTGCGTCATTGAGTGCGCGCGATTACCGTTTAGGGGCGAATCATGATGCATCATTGAATGATTGCACGCTACACGCTTTTTCTTATTTTTCCTTGCTCGATTAACGGAGCTGGCTCTGCTCGTCTGTGTACCAAGTTATATACTCATCGTCTCACGCCTACCCATACTTACCTAAATCTCTTGAGTAATTTGCAATGTATGCAAGCCTCACTGGAAGCACTTTTTTTTTACTTGGTACTATACATAATGTACAAACAGGAAAGGCTTCTTTTTTTGAAACGACGAGAGGGTGATTTGAGGCACACCTGTAACGTTGATTTTTTTGTTGTTGTTGCAGGACTCGAGGTATCGGGACACTTCGCAACAGATCTACAAACAATGGCAGGCAGATCCGGCGCGGGCCTTCCCGACGGTTGGCAATGGCAGCGTCACCAACAGCGGTACAGGCGACGCGACGGACTCGCCGACGAAAGCCACTTCCTACAACTCTAGCGTGGTGAGTTTCCCGTTGCCCTCCTCTATTACTATAAGTATTGTGCCTCGGAATGTTATCTTTGTTCGGCTCCCCCGTTTTCAAATAGGTCCTTTCATGCCCCGCGAGATGAGATAATTTTTCAATGGACTTACAATGCACGGCAGACCGCAGCTGCTGTATTACAGCTCGGCTCGTTACGACGCTCCTTTTGCCGTGCACAATACATACTACCTTGTGACTTACTAGCAAGGACTCGAGATTTAGCCATCGTTTTGCCTCCTCGAGGGAATCGTTAATTTTTTTTTCTTCTTTTTTTCGATACCCACCAACAAAATGCAGCCAACTGATGTTTCTCGTACCTCAATGAAATCGGTAGGAATCTGTTTCGATCGGCATACATGTGTACGTAAATTAAAGAAAAGTATAGGGCCTTTAAATGAGATACTTTTTTTCTTCCCCACATTCCATCTTAGCCGACAATAAATAATCGTTGCGAAACATAATTTATGAAAATGATAAATAGGTATAAGTATATCGCGCGTACATGTTGTATATCCCGTGAAATGATATTTATACGACATTACGCAATAACCGCGCGCTTATTTGGTTATTCAAATGTGAAAATTGATTTGCATGTGTTTGTAGCCGGCTCGCTCGAGCAAATCGTACATTCGAATGTAAATGCGCGATAAATAATATCGGTCGCGTTTTTATCGACTCACTTGACGATTTAGCCATTCGGTGTACTCAAAAGCGATTTGTACAACATTACAAATCCTCTGGCTTTTCGTACGTGGTAGCAGCAGCAGAACACGAGAGACAAAAAAAAAGTTCTTAGCCAAACGATTGTACACGCGGATAATAACTTACTCGGTGAGTCAGTCGCGTCTCGCACACACCTTGCGCTCAATAAGTTTGGGATGAGTTGTATCTTTAGACAACCCGTACTTTTCTCGTGGTCCTTCATTATCCCGATGCCCACGTAGTGAACGGGCAAACTCTCCCTAACGTATCGGATATCGGAGCAGGCCACGTCCTCACTATATAGACAAACAAAAAAAAAAAAAAAAAAAGAAAAGAAAAATCTAATAAACATAGTTGTTGCATGCACGAAATTCAATAGCCATATGCACCATACGCGTGGACGCGCTACTCCGATCCCACGTGCCGTTGGTTTATGTAACGCGCGCCTGTGTTCCACTTTCCCGGGCACTCGGAGCACACACGCGAGGGCTTACTAATTGCGCGAAAAGTCGCGTCGAGGGATCGATCGCCCCCGTGCACGCGGGGAGCCTTTAATTTAACACCGGCGTCATTTTAGCGGGGGGAAAGCGTCTCCCGGTACAGTCGGGTGGTGGTGGAGGGTAGTTTGCACAAGCCCTCCCTCGTATACACAGCGTGGCCTTCGCCCATTTCCATATATGGGTCAGGGAGCCTCGTGCACTCCCCTTTAAGCTGTAGCCCTCTCGACAACGGGGCTCCTATTTGAGCTCGGGGCTGTAATGAGCCACCTCGAGATCCGATCGAGGCGCTCGGCGTTTAATTGTTAACGATCACGGTGGCTCGTCGTAAAAATCATAAACAAAAAAAAAAAACTCCGAATTTAATTGCACTGCTGCTGGCGAATTAGCTGTCTGTGCGGGAATATGTGACGAGTCTCGCCACGGTTCTCCGTAAGTATGGGTACGTATATATATATATTGGGGATGAGAGTTGGGTTATATTGTGTAGATAGTGGTCACGCGAGTGTCGAAGCGATGCTTGGAAATGAAGCGAGAGAAAAACGAGCTCGTGCCGACGTCAGCAGCCACGCGTTCCCCGCGCAAACGTGCATAGGATGACCTCGCGCAGTTTTTCATCGTGTATTGGCATATATAAATCGTAATTTCGATGAATCGACCGGGGTGTGCGCATGTTTAATTTTTGCAACGCTGCACACTTTGATTTTGTTGCTTCGAATTCATCCAATATGTGACGATTCCTGTTCATAGAACAATGGCATTCAGGTTCTGACAATTTTTAGGGACAAAATTCGAGAGAAACCTTTTTTTATCGCGTGGCTGTAAAAGTTACCTATACTGCATAAATAAATCGTTGAGCGACCAACCTGGGGATACGTGAATATCAATAAATCAATATTCATCCATTACAATACGGCCATAGCAGTAACTGAATGCAATCGTCAAAAAAAAACAAAAAAAAAAAAAAAAAAAAAAAAACAGTACATCCATGTATCAGATTCTCGGCAAGTTTCTCCAAAAATCATAAATTTCATCAAGATGGATCGACAGCGAACTCAACTGGAGGGAGAAACAAACACACCTTATACTCTCTTTTCACAAATGACTAGCTCCGAAGGAGGAGGAGATACTCCCTTTCGCTGGTCGAGCAATTGCATATATATATATATATATATATTATTGGAACAATAGTTTCAATTCGCAAATCGTTTCGTAACAGCAGCCCTAGCAGTGCAGTCAACAATGACGACAGCACAACCAGGCAGCTACTCCGTTACATGTACCACTAAACTCCAATCCTACGTATAGATGAGCTATATTTACTCAAGTGTTCAGTCGGGCGTACCAACGTCACATAGTGGTCGCACCCGCGTGTATACACACATCTCGAGTGCGCGCGAGTGTAGGTATTTGCTCTCGAGGGTGAGCTCATTTCAAATGGAAATCCATCGGGCATCGATCATCGCCGGCCTATTGTCGAGTCGTGGATCTCACGATAGGTACACACCAACCAAATGTCGGGTTTTTTATCTGGGAAAATTCGCAAATTCACCAACAGAGTAGCGTGTGTTACACAACAAACCCGATAAATAACGTTTTTACAGTTGAGGAAAAATAAAAAACCATTGGAAAAAAGATACTTTTTATCTGTGGATTCTCGAAATTTTCAGGAATAATCCATAGACATAGATGCAAAAAACTTGTCTCGCCGTAGGTGCAAGCTTTTTTCAAAAACCCGCGTCTCGATCCTCGGGTGCGACTGAACACGAGGATAAAGCCAGGGAACGCCCACCGCGTACCCACATAAAAAGCATAGGAGCGAGTTTTTTCTTACGGCGCAGGAGAAAAGACGAATATCGCGCCGCTCACGGTAACGTAATAACGAGGAGGAGAAGGGCCTCTTTTTCCTCTCCTTGTCCCCCGATCGACATTTGTCGCGAGGCCCGTTTTGACGCTTTCCCACGCTTTTTCCTCCCCAACGAGCGGCTGGAAATTGTTTTTCGAGAGAAATCATATTAGCGGGGCCCCGCGACGGCTGCACTCTGTACACCGCACGTATGTGTGTTTGTTGTACACCGCGGAGCTGGAGATCGGTCGGGGGATCTCCGTCGTGGGCTCTGCCGTCACGTCACCCCCGATTGTTTGCCCCCCTCTTTCGTATGAGGTGGTGTAATTTTTAAAGAAAAAAAAAAAAAAAAAAAAAAAAAGTTACAACAGCGCGATAGTAAAGCTGAAAAGTCACTCTTTGTTTTATTGGGTGAAAAAATGTACGACAAAAAATTGTAGCTCGTCGTGATCGTAAAACACGCTCGAACAGAGCCTTTGGGTGTTTTTTTTTTTTTTTTCTCTCGTTCGAGACGTCGGGGTCCCGAAACTACCGCGTTGATTTGATTAACAGCTTCAGCGTCAACAGAGCCCACTTTGCCGGAGACAAGAACCTTTTAACACGTTCTCCCGACGCCCATCAGAAATAATTATTGATCCTCGGCCATAGGTGCTCGGCAGCAGCAGTAACAATCATAAAAAGTAGAGAGAAATCACGACTCCGGTATGGAAATCGTGAAAAAAGAAAGGGGCGACAGAGTTTCTTGAAATTCCTCACTCGGGGCCAAACCACACGCGACTGTGTGGTCTGCAAAGGTACCCGCTGAAACCAGATGAGCTTGAAAAGCAAAGGGCCCTCGAAAAGCCATAAAAAATATAAGGCACTTTCTTCGCAGCCGGTGTAATAGGCACAACCCTCCGAAAAGGGATTTTATCGAGTCGGGAGGGGGGGGGGGTACGTATAGACGCACGTGCCGGGCACGCGCGTGTTATTTTCGTCCCCCAACGGTGCACAGCGCGCACCGGCACCGGAGAGGGAAAATGAAGAAAGAAAGCGCCGGAAGAGAAGAAGGGGGTAAAAATTAAAGTGGCACCGTCTGCATTTCCATGTATATTTAGACCACCTCCCTCCCTCCCTCGGCAGACTCCGTGAGCGGCGCGTTAGATTAGCATCTCTCTCGGCGTCGGTCCTTCGGGGGCCCCGGCTATATAAAACGTTTTTCCGCGCAAACAGCCTCTCGGCTAAGTGAAATTTACGCTATAGCTGCGTTTTGATAAACACCGGGACATGAAATCCAAGAGAAATCGAGCCTCATACTGCACCTACCTATATATACTTATGCGTGTTATTAGGCTCTCTCTCTCTCTGGGTGTACTGGATGTCGTTTAATCCGACACACGGAGGGCGGGCGAAATTAAACGCTACTCTCAGACTTTGGAGGAGTAGGTGTGTTGTTGCTATACGTTGTTTAATATCATTACGTTATTTACGACGATCGAAAAGAGACTCACAGTCTTGACGTCAGACTGCCACAGTTGCACGACTTTCGATTCGTCTCGCCTCTGTCCGGAGTAATTAAATTTTATCAAAGAAAGCATACACCTTACAGCTATCGAGCTCAGTTTCACCCTCGTCAAAACCACCGTGTATACGTACTCGGTAATCATATAAGGAATTGTCGTATGATAAATCTTGTGATCCAATGATACTTACCATTGCCTGTTGCATATCACCATGAAAGTATACCATACCCATCTACTTGACTTGATAATTAATTTTCGCAACATCATCAGTGTGTATGAACAACCTCGACACGTAGGGTACAACAACCTGGAAGTAACAATGAAGCTTAAGCTAGTGCTTGTAAGCTCAGTTACGAGCACCTATACACTCGCCTTTCGAGGGACACGAGAGCTTAATTACCAGGCGACAATGAAGAATTTTGGCAGTTTGCAGCTACCGCCCACCTACCCCCTACAGAGCTCTGCATGAAA